TCTGGCCCCAAATGTCAATAGTGCCACTATTGATAAACCCTGCACTAAAGGCCAAGCTTTTCACTTCTGCATCCTACATCTTTTTTTCACCCTTCAGAATCCTGATTCTTTCCTTCTGCATTTTTGGTGTCACTCTGAGGACAGATTGCAGAGAAGACTGAGCAGATACCCACAAATGATGCCTGATGTTGGGTCAGGGAGCATGCAGAAATACAATCCTGTAAAAAACTGGCATCAGGATTGAGCACAAGTTTTGAAGGATACTGTATCTTTCTGGAACTTTCATATGAATTAGGAATGTTGGATTCTCAAAGATGGAGACTGCTAACCAATTGCCTGGAAGTTCAAGTATGCGTTAGGCCACTTAGGTCACAGTGGATATTAAGACAACTGATAGCGCATTCTCTGGATTCTGGAATATTGTGCATTCAGTTGGGAGTGTGGTGGGTGTGCAAAGAGCTCTGGCTAACTCACCCTCTTACTGTGGTTCACCTCTGGTGAACCACAGTAAGAGGAATGACTCATTTCTCTGGGGTTTTTAGTCACATTCTTCCCCCAAAAGATAAATTTTCCTGTCCTCTCCTTATTGTAAATGGCCAACTCTTTGATAGCTTTAAAATAACTCATGGCCATAAAGTCACATACCTTTTAACTTTTCTTCCTTCAATCACTCAGACTTCCACTAAAAAATGATCAAGGTATATATATTCATTATAGGAAAAATATATAGACAAGCAAAAATAAGTAAAAATCATTCCTACAATTGTTCTATCGGAGATTGACTACTGTTAACATTTTTAACTTTATTTTCCATCCATCTAAATAAGTGCAATCATGCCGAACATCCTGTTTTGTGATCTGCTTACTGGGAGCACCTTTCCATATTCACCAGAGCCTTTACCTGTGAGATTGTATTCCATAGACTTGGCTTTCTTTAGAAAAAAATCAGACCAAATGATGGGGACCCATGGGTTTAGTCATGATCCTTCCTTGAGTTAAAGTCTTTATAAAGGCCGAAAATTCCAGAACCAGGGCAGGGTACACTAAAAAGGCACTCAGCTGTCTTTCAAAGACTCTGAATTTGCAGCTACTTTGACAAGAGAGGTGGCAATTTCTCCTACATCTTCTACTAGAACTTTCACTAATGTGGTGACTTCTCAGGCCCGAGTGTCACAGACAATGCTTCGGGGTACCTCTGATGGCCCCTTGCAGTCCTGGGGCACAGCAAACATGACTTGGAAAGAGGAGAAGGAAAGGGGAGGAGGAGGAAAAGACTAGAAAGAAGAAAAAAAACCTAGAGGTATTCAGACAAATGGGGATGAAAGATATTAAAATCTTGGCTTTGCATGTGGCTAGGTGGTACCAGGCTGAGCTACCTCTGCTTGCCCTCCCCAGAAGGAATGGGAGCTTTTCTCATGAGGTCACTCCAAGTCCCTACTCTCTGATTTAAACTCTTGCTCACTCACTATCAAGCTTTTCAAATGCTCACATCTGGGCTGCATTACCAAAGAGGCCAATGTGTTTGGGGAAGATAATTTACTCAGCAGATAACGATAACAAGCTCTAGCCTGAGAATTCCAGCAGCATCCAGAGGGAGTTGGGACTCAAATGGAAATGGAGACTTTGTTAAATGAATTATGGTGTATAAATAAATTATGGGTCACTTGGACACACCTGTGTTGTGTACATATTTAGCACATATCATTGAGATATTATAACCAAAGAAAAGACAACTGTTTAATAAAGGGGGAACTAAGTGCCCTCACCTTAAGTGTTTTCTTTGCTCCACACAGAAGCAGCAGGCATTTCTAAGCTGCTCCGTGCATTCTGGGAAATAATAGCCAGGAGAAAGTCTTACCTCCCAAAGCTCTAGGACCCCAAGGCTTAGTTCAGGAATCAATGAGGCCATATTTAGCCCAGTGCCTGACCCCAGATTAATGCTATATTTCAATAGAGAGGAAAGTTCTGGAGAGCAAAACTAGTATGATATTTTCTTTTTTTTCCAAAAATGCTACAATGAAAAAAAAAGTGATATTTTATTACGTTTGCATAATACTTTGCAAAATAATTTTGTACTTCCCAATCTCTCTTTACTACTCATAACCAACTTGCCCCAAAGCATGCTCACCATCTCCAGGGCATTGCACCAGAATCTAGGCCAGGGATATGGGTGGGTCTGGGGATTTCAGGGTTGGAGGGGCATGACTGTGTTGTTTGAAAAATTTCCCAGGATAATTCCATATGTCCCTTCCCTGGGAGAAGCTCTGAAAAGTAATGTACTTTTCATCTAATCTCTTTTACTGAAGGGATCAACTGTTTACTGTAAAAATGCCATAACTTACTGAACCTATCTTCACTGTTGGTATTTGGATACTTTCCTTTCTCCCTGTGCACTGACAACTCAGTGGCTGCACAGCTTGGTGCCCGTGAATGAGGCTGGCACCCAGGTTGCAGTGCACACAACTCACCTTGATGATGGGAGAGGCAATGAAAATGAGCCTGCTATATTAAGAGGTCTTGGGTGTTTTCAGAGGCTCCTGTAGTGACCAGACATCCAACAAAGTCAAACACTGTTGTTGGTTCTGCAGGGAATATTTAGTAATGCTGGTGACCTAGAGAGTCGGTGCTGGTGTCTGCTGTGATGTAACTATCACCATCTATTTTGTTTTATTGAAAGAGGAGGCCAGAGGACCCCTGAAAGCATGACTTCACCAGATGCACAGCAACCAAATTGGTAAGACCTCCGAGAACTACATTCCACTCAATGACCTCTGTCAAGTTCCCATAATTTTTTTTGTGTGTTTTTGCTTGATCATTTCTTTAAATTGGAGTTGCAAGAAGTACTTAATTGGAATAATAACAAAGACTATTATTATCTCACTACTCTGTTGGGAGGAAGAATTAAGTGACTAATTAAAAATTTTATGAGGGTGTTAAACATGAAGTCATCACAGCAAGTGATTGTGGGGCACTCTGGAGATAATACTAAGTAAGTGCTGAAACCCAGGGACAAGCTGCAGGATGCTCTGGCATCTCAGGAACTTGCTCCAAAAAGATAGGGTGGCTTTATGATGACTGCACAGAAGGGAAGACATAGTTTCCTCCACTAGTATTTTGAGACCAACAATAGACCAGATAATAGCTGTCAAAGAACTAGAACACAGGCCTGGTTACTAAATATGTGGCACTTGTTAAATTCTCCGAAGATGTAACACTTCTACTAAGTTCTTCTCCACAAACACTGCATGTGTGCACACAGATTGGAGTACCTGAAACTGAGATGCTTAACAGGGGACTGGACAGCTTAATTATGGAAGCTCAAAAGTAGATTTTTATCCACCCAGTGAAAGATCTCCAGGTAAAAAAACAAAGTCACCAAACAACTTATCATTCTTATTTTTCTTTAAGAAGGGGAATGAACTGGAGGTAGAGGTTAAAGGAAGAAGCGTGGCAGAGAGTAATTTTTATTTTTTGGAGTACACTTTTATATAGTTGAAAATGTCTACTGTGATAATTCTTTGTAAAAAAACCTGATATATGTTGAGCCATTTTCCTGACATAATACAAGATTAAAATTTCTTTATTCTTTGACCCCTGCTTTATTAGTAATAGAATGTTTTCCTCTTCCTTGCTGGCTTATGTTTGTCTTTTTTCTGCATTTCCATGGACACAAGCAGTGGACTCATGTCACACTGCTTCCAAGGAACTCCTGTGTTTTTCTTTTGGATTTCTGTGCATTTTTCCATACTGGCCGCATTCCTAGACAAATTTCCCTTATACTCTCCCTTCCTGGGGTTTAAAAATGTAATTTCTGTAGGTGAAAAGAAATTCTAAACTAGATTTCAGAGCAGAAGGCAGAAAACAAATTGGGGTTGTCGCCACTTTGCTTACTGAGTAACAAGTAGCTACCATCTACCGTCTCTATCAATTCGTATTATAAAAAGATCCTTAAAGAAAAAGGGAGGACATCTTATTACCACACTTTTGGATTTCATGGAACACACTGAAGTTAAAGAAGTATGAAAACCAACTTGATTTTCCTTAATCATAGTATAAAACCCCCCAAAAGAAAAATAAGAAGCTTCCACTATCATGTCATTAAACAAAGTATTTTTCAATACCCAAAAAATAATGTAAGCTCAAACTAAAGAAATATTTTTCAGGTTGATAAAGATTTATGGTACATCTATTATCTTAGCTTATTTTATCATATTTGGCTTCAGACCAGGAAAGCAAAATTTATCAAATTCAGGATAGTGGGGAGAGGGGCTTTTAATTTTAAATTGGTAATGTCTTATTTCTTAAGCTAGATACAGGAACATAGGTGTTACTATTCATAACATTTCATTTATCTTAGAGGGTGAATAATTAATGAGAAAAATATCTTCATCACTGGTTTTAAGAAATCATAGATATAACGAATGTATCCATTTAAGGAGGAAATGACCCATCCCGTGTCCCCTGCCCCTGGCATGATAACATGACTTACCGAAGCAGAGCTCAGGGAACAGTCAAGGACTGCACTGTTCTTGGCAGTCTCTCTGCCTACAAGCTGAATTGGTATTTCTGCACTACTAAAATCATTCTTTCAGTGAGCATTGGTTTGCATTTTATCTTCTATTCAAATTAAAGGTGTGAAATTATATAAATTCAATTATTTCCACAGTCTCTATAAAATATTCCTACAGAAAATATAATTATAAATGTTTGCCATAAATCAAATATAAAAATCCAAAAGTATGTATAGTACCTATGTTTTTCAACTTTTAATTTATCCAAGATGCTTTGAGTAATAAAGCAGGTGATTCAATCCTTCATCTTCAAAGAAAACCATTCTTGAATGGTAACTTGGTCTCCAGACTAAGAAAGTAGAGAGTCTCTTTCACATCATAATATTTTGATAGGTTGCTTCTTTTTTTAATTCCCGATCTCTGATTACCAGAATTTTTCCTTTTTTTAAAGGGAGGTAGGGGATGCTAAGTGTGTCTGTAGATACATACCTCACAGCAAAGTACAAAATGGTTGGGCCTGGCTTTTTGGGCAGATCATGGTCAAGAACTCGGTGATCTAACTGCAACCAGTTCTGCTGACCTCTGTGAGAGAAAAGCAAAAAAACAAACCAAAACAAAAAGTGATTAAATAGAAAATTGGAGAAAGGTTCAATAATACATTGTGTTGGCAAAGTTGTGGAGAAACAGTTATTCCCATACACTAATGGTAGCTATTTAACCCGTTACAACTAATAACAAGGACAGTTAGCAATTTCTATCAAAATTATAAAAGCACCTGCCTCTACATCAGCATTTTCACTTCCAGGAGTTTATTAAGATAAGCTTGCATGTGTGGAAAATGGCCTGCATGTGAAGTTACTCACTGAAGCATTGTTTGTGATAGCAAAAAGCTTGAAACAACCTAAATGTCTAGCAGGATATGGTTTTAAGAAATGAATTTAACCTCAGTGATAAAATACAATGCAGCCATTCAAAAGATCAATACTATGCTTGCAAATTTATTTTGAACAGTATCCAAGATGTACATTAAATGAAAAGGCAAGATGCATAAGACTAAGTATAGTATATCACTATATTTTAAAATAAAAAAATAGGTTTACTTATAGGTATGCATGAGTATATATGAATATCTACAAAAATATCTCTGATAGGTTAAACAAGAAATAACACTTGTTGTTTCAGAGACCAAAAACTAGGTGAAATTAAGTGGAATAATCTTTATATTCTTATTAAATACAAAATATGAAATATTTTAGTCATGAAAGAGAAAAACTTTTGGTCATTTAATGAAATCAAACAGACACAGATAATAATACTATAGCTTTTTAAAAAGTGCAGGGTTGAATACTCTAGGTGCTGCTTCTGTGTGTATGTGTGTGTGTGTGTGTTGTGATGAACTTTCTAATATTTAAGCATAGGCAGGGTGGGGCAAAAGTAGATTTACAGTTCTTCATATGGAAAATAACACAATAATTAACAAATAATAATGCAAGAATAGGCTCTGCATTCCAATACTCACAACTTAAACCTACTTTTGCCCCACCCTGTATACTCAAGAGCCTCACCATGTTCATGGGTATAAATGGTTCTTCCCGACTTTTGACCTCCAAGAAGTGGAAAGGACTGATGATTCTGTGGTTCAGAATTGCTTACATGGCTTTTTCAAGGTTCTTTAACTAGCTGATTCGTTTTAGACTGTGAATTCCTGCAGGGCACAGACTCCATTTTGTCTGCTTACATAAAACTTAAGGTGCTGACAGTGGTGAGCTGTGTCAAATTACAACAAAATCTATAATGGGCCAGAAAACATTTTATAAATTAATTTGGTCTTAAAGTAAATACTTAAAAAAAATCAGAAAACTCTAAGCTGTATTCTTTATAACTAGAGAGGAAAATGGGCACAAATAGCATTAATGTTGATAATAATAACTACTCTTTTTTGAGCAACTGCTCTGTGCCAGCGAAGCTGGGACTTTTATGAGTGAATACTCTATTTAACAGTAACTCTGCAAGGAAAGTGGCAGAGCTGGGATTTGAACCCAGGACTTTCAGTATAGGAGAAAAATGAGATGAGGGAGTTGCATCAACTTTTATAATAACTTACGGCTTGATCTCTGTCACTTATAATTTAAACACTGGAAAAAACTATTTTTGCTTCTTTAATTATAAACTTAGGTTTCTGATAACTGTTCCTAGCTTTCCTTGGAGGCATATTATGAACATAAGCTGATATAAGTGATATAAGGGGAGCTTCATAGAACTATCAATGTTGTGTGTGTAAAATAACATAAAAATAGAGGGCTGGAAGTTTAGGTTTTCTTACACTGTATTTTATCAAGTTTAGGATGGTACTGAGTTAAAGACACATCCCAGTTTCACAGGTATTCACATGTGTATCTTAAAATACATAAAACATTGTATAGTATCAGATCTTAAAAGTTTTCTTATAGAAAATGAGACTTATTTTGAATTGTCTTTTTTTGCTTTTACATAGGAAAGATGTGGCATTAGAAAAGCATAATGTCTACTTATGACATTCCATGAACTTGCATGCAATGATGTCTAGGAATAGATACATCAATTATATTAATCACAAAAGCACACTCAAAACACTATTATATATGGATGAAACTTCTTGGAATTAGTTCTGGAGACATACAAAACAAATCGTTATAATCAAAAGTGATTGGCTTCAACTATGATATTATATGTTTTTATAACAAGATGTTCATGTAAAAGTAATATAACTTTTAAAGGGTAAATTAGAAATTATATTTTAAAAAACTGTATCCATAATTTCACCGACAGAGTAAAAGAACAAGAAGTAAAAATTACACATAATTCTATTACCAAGGTATAATCAAAGTTAACATGCTACTTTATAGTTTTTGAGGCTCATATGAGATCAAAAACCTGTTTTGCTCAAGTTTTTCTATCAGTAAATATAACAGATCTAATCAATTTCTCAGAAAGGCATTTGAATCTACACATTTACTTCTATTAAGCTGTGCAAGTGAACCTTAAAGCCAGTTTCCTTTTTGGCTAGAACTGTATCAATTCAAGGCCCATCAGATGGAACAATAGTCAAAAGTCATAACTGTATTGTAAAACCTATTTGTTATGTCTTGAAAAACAAAACTTATTCCAAAAATATTTTCAAAATAAGAGAAGAAAAAACATGAAATGGGTTTAAGGAAATGGGAACCTTTGTGAACAGAAGGGCCATTGTGTCAGGAGGGCCATGACTGCCCTCTAGGGGTAAAATACTCACTTTGCACACAGAACACCAGAAGGTACACAAAATAACAAGGTTAAATTTCAGGAAAGTGTAGGATGCACCCTCTAATAGGACCATGAACTTCTTTTTGTTGGTCATCATCAGTACTTTATTATGTACCACACAATTCTATTTTTTCATTTCTTTTCTTGGCCTGTGTTGTAGGGTATAGACATTAGCTACTTTCACTGACAAAATGTCTATCTCCTCTTCCTCTTCATTTACAGCCAGTCACCAAAGGCAAATGGCTGGTGTGGCATCTAGGTTGGAATATTCAGTTCAGACCACTTGTTGGTGAAGATCTTACTCTGGTGTTATGGTGGGGGTGAGGGAGTACTGGAAAAAAACACTTTCCAAAAATATTTACGAGGCAAAAAGAACTAGGCTGGTGACCAAGACATTCCAAGGAGATACCCTTAAACAGAAGCAATTTTCCAGACCTGTACCACAGAAAGGTGGAAATGGCTGTTACCACTTACCATCCCCCCACTCCAACAAAAAAGCCCCGCGCATACTTTTTCTGAAACTAAACATAGCTAGAGCCAGAAGACACCTTCCAAACTGGTCATAGTTCAAAAATAGACTCTGCTGTCCCTTGCAGGGGAGTGCATGGAAGACATTCTGGAGCCAGGCTTCTTGGAAAGACTGTAACATTGGCCACTGCCGCCAAAGGAGTTAACCGAGGGATGCCTGAGTGAGACAGTCTTCTCTCAATAGAGGATTTAGAAAGAAATCCCAGGGCAGGAGAGGAGGAAAGTGGCTCAGGTCATTAAAGGAAGTCATTCATATTCTTCCTTTTCTTTCTGAAGAAATGGTTTTACAGTCTCAATTCCTGATTTATGCATTGTCTGATTATGCTCACCTGAGCTCAGAGCTTTCCCTGAAGTTTCCATGGGGCCAGTACCCTTCTTTCCACCCACCATAACTTTGTAGCCTGGGGAACCTGTGATCCCACAGTCCCGAATCATGCCAGTCCTCTATATAACACCTTCCCATGGCCGAGGGTTCCTCTCCCACCTACACGAGTTGTGATCAACTCAACTATCAGCTCAACTATGATCTGATATGGTGTCTCTTATATCTTCACAATCAGGTCAGATTCCTTACAGTGGGGAAATGATCCGCATTCATTATCATGTCCATGCACGGGTCACAAAATGACTCTTCCATGGAATGTCATCTCCTGCCTAGAATGTCCCCTCTATCTAAAGTCTATCTGCCTTGCCAGGTCCAATTTTAGTTATCCTGCTGTGTGGATCCCACCCCAGTCCTCCTCCAGTCTCATTCTGAGCACTTACTGCCATGACTGCTTCCTTTTATTATGTGCCTGTGCTATGGGCTTTACATACTTACCTGATTTAATAGTATGTAACACTAGTGCCCTATTACATGTACCTTATATAGTAATTATTATATGGGTACTATTATGCCTGTTATAGATATGAGAAAACTTGAGTGTCTGAGATATTCAGTAATTGGTCCAAGATCAGATAGCTACCAAGATTCAATGATATCCACTTCCTGCCTCCCTCCCAATATAATATCTTGTCCCATTTTTGCCTCTTACTCTATATTCTAGACACAATGGCATTTTATTGACTTTCTAAAAAAAAGAATCAAGTTTAGTCACACCTTTTACATTTTTTTCAAGTAATATAACTTTTTTTCTTTAAATTTTTAAAAATTTAATGGTTGTTCAAGTACAGTTGTTTCCATTTCACTCCCCTAACTGCCCCCATCCCAACATTCCCCCTTCCCATCCTTGATTCTACCCCCCAATGGTTTTGTCTATGTGTCCTTTACAGATGTTCCTCAAAACCCTCCCTCCATTATCCCCTCCCACCTTCCCTCTGGTTACTGTCAGTTTGTTCTTTATTTCAATGTATGGTTATATTTTGCTTGCTTTTATTTTGTTGATTGGGTTCTACTTATAGGTGAGATCATATGGTATATATCTTTCACCACCTGGCTTATTTCACTTAGCATAATGCTCTCCAGTTCTATCCATGCTGTCCCAAAGGTTAGGATCTCTTTTTTCTTTCTGCTGCATAGTATTCCATTGTGTAAATGTACCATCACTTTTTGATCCATTCATTTACTTCATTTTACTTAGGTTGCTTCCAACACTTAGAGATTGTAAATTATGCTGCTATGAACATTGGGGTGCATAGGATCTTTTTAATTGGATTTTCAGGGTTCTTAGGATATAATTCCAACAGAATTGCTGGGTCAAAAGGTAGTTCCATTTCTAGTTTTCTGAGGAAATTCCATGCTGTTTTCCAGAGTGGCTGCACCACCACTGCAT